AAGCTTGAACGAAAAGTGAAGCGATTTTTATTCTTGTTATCGGCGTGTAGATATTGTGATGTGTATCAAATGATGATAAAACAAATTGATATTTTGAATATTGGCCTTAATGTGCACCTACAATTCCATTATCTGACATGAAGCTTGTATAGTAAGTACTTTGTTCAACAGCTCTTGGTCTAGAACTTGTATGCATGAAATGCAAAATATCTCGATTAATGCAAATTTGGTTGTCCGTTTGTTTGTTTTACTTTCTCGATATGATGACCGCTTGTTTCGTGAACGGTGAACTTGTTTTCTCATTTTATCATTTATCAGATGAAACAAGAAGATGAGTTTCACCAAAGAAAATGAAAATAATATTCTAAAAAAAAACAACAAACAATTTTTTTTAAATAACCAAACGAATAATTTTCTTCTTTTATTTGTATATTTTGTGTATTTAAATATTTTTCAGAAGTTAAATAGTGAAATAAATGAAATGATCGACGCATATGAGCAAAAACATGGTCCAGTTGATGATCGTTCAATATTCGATGGTGAAATAATCGTACCACCACATTTGCGTAATATGTCGCTCACAAGCCTACGGGCGTATCGTTTGCATGGCAGCCTCTTTGGAAGCTTATCGCGATCGCGAACGTTTTTAAATCTTTCACAAAATGCACGTCACACATTGCATGGTTCGGTGCCAGACTTGAGTCGCAATCACTTCACATTCAGTAGTAGCAATAATGGCAATAATAGCGTGGATGATGATGATGATGATGATGATGATGATGATGAGAGTGATAAAAATCGGCGACGCATGTCTTCCACATCGACAATCACAAAAATTACAATGAACTCGTCGACAACGTTGACATTTAGTGATGCATCGATTGGTACATTATCGTATGGTGATGATCGAACACAATATTCAAGTGATAAACACTCGCTATCGATTCAATCCGGTGATGGGCCAAACATAAGTATCAACACAAAATCGGACGAAGGCTATAAATCGAATAGCATTCGTTCGTTGAATGACATAGAGTTGCGTGAATCGATGGCAATGGCACCGGCAGCAGTGACCATGGCGGAGGATCGAACAATGTTCTGTCAATCATTGGGTCGTCCGAATCGCGCGTTAAAACCCAATATTTATACGACAAAACCGAGCGATTTTAAAAATATGCGTGCACAATCGATGGAAGCATACAATGCCGAAGGCTATATGACGGTCATTAAAACCAATCCGCAAAAAAAGAATCCGACATCGCTTAGTGCATATCGTTCATCGTCCATTCGTACAATATCACCATTGTGTACCGTTACATCGATGCATGATATCAATGAATCAATCGCCGACTCATCATTACCAATGTCCACTACATCCACAAGCACATTTCAACGAAACAAACAACCTAAGCTCCAATCAAATAATAGTTATGGTCAAAGTGGCGGCGGTGGTTTTGCTGGCCCATTGAGCTTAGACAATATGACCAAATTCAAGCTACCACGAGTCACACTCAATCATTCCAATGCCACAAATTTACCACAACAATGATTTTCACGTTATTACTACCATCCGCTTATGTTAATCAATTTTTATTTTCTTCTTCTGTTTCAAATGTCGATTTAATGTGTAACGCCAATTGCGTGTACAGCCCAGATCGGCTATAAATCACCATTTTCCCCTTGGCTGTTTCTTTTTCTTCTTCTTCTGTTTGTTAACTTATATTTTCATTATACGCTTATGTTCATTTAAATGGGTTCCAATTCATAAATTGCACAAAAACCAGTCAATATGCGCCTTTATTCCTTTTGTTTTTGTTTAGCATTAAAGAAAGTTCAAGTCATTTCTTTGTTGTTATTGTTGTTATTCTTGGTGTCATTATTATTATTATTTTTTAATTCTACATACAGTAATTTTTAAGTGTTATTCATTTAGTTGCCTTAAATTTTTGTTTGTTTGTTTGGTCCTTGAACCAACTTGATAATAGAAAATATGCAGCCAGTGAATAGTAAATAATTACCGCGATGTTTTTACATTGCGTTGCCTGCACAGTGCACACACATTCATATAAAAACACACAAAAACGCTTTATTTATGTTAAACTCTTCCAAAACTTGATCCATTTGGTTGTCGTCTGCACCGTTCCCTTTCATTACCTACAATTTACTTCACAAAAAAATCTCCATCAAACACACACTCACCCACCCACACAAACAAGATTTTATATATCTTGAATGAAATGAAATAACCAATACGCTTCCAATCGACGTCTTGATATTCAAAATGGGTTGCTACTCCTATTCGTGCATTATAAACCGTTTTGCCATGAAGATGACACAACTAAACTCAAGCTCAAAAGAATGGCCGAAGAACAAATCAACCACAGATAAGAGCTCAAACCAAAAAATTAGCAATGACACATGAGTACCCAAAAGCCTACACGCCCAATCGATTCCATGAACTCAATCATAGTTATGATATGATAATATACTAAGAAGAAAAACAAGAACAAAATAGAAAGAAAGAAAGAAATTAACGGTTCAATTAAAAACAAAACACAATCCGAATCAAAGCAGGTTTGTGAATGAAATCGCATTTGAATGAATGTTGTTGTCAATATGTTTTTTTGTGTTTATTTGTGTAATTCTTAAAACTACATGTATGTGTTGTCATTTGTTCATGATCAGATCACCCAGCAGTTTGATCAATTGTTTTTCCGTTTCGTTTTATTTTCGTGTTGATTGTTGTATTAATTTCGTTTTTTTCTGTTTGTTTGAGATTTTCCAATTTCTCAGAAGGGTTAAAGGGTTTATGACATAACAAATACACGTTTAACTATAATTTATATTATCTAGTAATTATTTGAATTCTTGTTTTCTTAAAAAAAAAAAATGAAACAAAATGCAATAGAATTTGAACTTTTTCTATTTTTTTGTTTTTTTTCAAGAGCAAAATTCTATTAGTTTGTGCACATTGAAATTCATAGTTGATGATTATGGTTTTCTTCCATATATTTCACTATATTTCGATATCAACTCTATTTTTGCACATTGTATTCTTTTGAACAGGGTGGCAGGATGAACAAAATCTTTTCTATTCTGTATTTTTTTTTATTTTCTATCTGAATTTCAATTGTTTTTTCTCTCTATATTTTGTATGTAATATTGCTATATTTTGGACAATAATTGTTCAATGGAAATTTACAATATATTTTTTTTCCTATTCCTCTTTTTTTCCGCGACCATACAGCGCTTAGAGGAGACATTCAATCAACAGATTGAAGAAATGGACGCGTTGTACCGAACCGGTATAGTTCCTATGAACTGCGGAGGAGCTGAATCGTCACGCGATTTGGCTGGATCAACGCGAAGCAGTCTATCATCATATTCAGAGGGTTGATGGCATTTGATGTTGTACAACATATATAAATGAGTATATATACAAACACACACACACACCAGAATTTTAGAAGACTAATAGCAAACCACATTCTGGAACTATGAATCTCCTAAATTAACAAGTCGAGTTTAAATTTTCAAATCCGATTGTATTTTGGATGAACGTTATTCGAGAAAAGAGATAACGTGTTGGTGCTTTTTCAGCAAAATTGTAAATTGAGTCAAGTAATATAACTTTGCAGAAGATACAATCACGATTATATCTTAACATTAATGAAATACATGTTAATTCAACCGATTCGAAAATGTATGCTCAGCATGAATATTCAGGATATTCACAGTCTCCCGTTGTGGATCACTTGCTAATAATTCATTACCGAACAACGACACAAATAGAATTTAATGAATAAATTTAAAAGAGAAAAAGTAAAACAGAGATGATGATGATATTGATGATGAAAAATGAGTCGTAACGCAATTCGTATTATGCCTTCTGTTCCCGATAAATGACAAATGCAACGAAGGAACGCGTAGTCTAATAAATAAAATTATACTTATATCGATATAGCTCAAGCTCAAGAAACAAATTGTTGAACTTTTTTTTTGTCGAGGGAAGAAATGTATTAAATTGCATTTGATGAGAGAGACAACGGAAGAAAAAAAATATCAAAAAAACAATAATATATCCATATGCAAAATGTCTTTCCGATTTACAAAATATATATGAACATATATTTTAATTTTTAATATTTTACACTGCATTGTGTATTTTTTTTTGTGCTTGAAAATGATGAAATGCAAGTGAGAACAATTGATGGATTGTATGTTTAGCGATGCGTTTCAACATATCGATTAAATGCAAAATTGAACCGAGAGAAACTAAACACATTACTCAAAATGCAATCCAAAAGCCAACTGTTTATGGCACTGACAGAGAGAATAAGATGCTTGTCTGATATAATTAGTCGACATGATCAAATTTATACATTGATATCAGCAATAAACAACAGCAACAATATTTATGCTGCATATCAAAAACTTAAATAAATACAAAGACAACGAATATTGCTAAATCCATGTAAAGAAAAAACTCGAGGGAGAGAGGGAACGACCGAGCGAGAAATAAAAAAAAACAATTGAAACGTATGCAAACAATTCTTTTTTCCTTCCCTAATGCAAGCGTCCTGAGTCGAGAATTTCATATTGACTTTGAGCCTAGCAATAGACCTAGGAATAAAAAGAGATATCAACGTTCTTATGAGATATATTAATAAAATGGCAACAAAATGTTTGTCGATTGCTAAGTTCATAGTTTTTTAGAAAAGAAAAAAGAAACATTGTTGTTGAAATTATAATGATTTTCCCTTTTTATTATTATTTAATAAAATAGGTTCAATGTAATTAAAAAAAAAAATGAAATATGTAAAAATAAAAGAAAATGCTGATAAAAAAAACCTAATGAAAAACTTTTTTTTCTTTCTCGAATCATGGGACACTTTTATGCTCACTTTTTTCTTGAGTCTCTTTTGTTGCTATACGAATGTATGAGGCATTTCGGAACGAACTTTTTTTCGCAGGTCAAGAATATTCTCATGCATTCAATTGTTGTTTCAATCAATGATAAAGCAACAAATGACCACACATTATGAATCGAATGAAATCTCATTTTATTTAAAATATTGTTGCAAGTGTTATCCACAGAGGGCTATGCTATATTTAATTGTCAAAATGATCCATCAAGTAAGCCAACTGGCTGTTCAGTTCGAAAGATTTGCACACGGGAATTCGTTGGTTTCAGGTATGCAATTAGCATAGAAAAGGGAAATCCAGTTGTTCCCTGAATGTCACATTGTGATGGGAGTGCGTTTGCGCGAGTTTTATTCCACAACATTTCATCCATACTAATGTAGTCATTCTCCAGTTTTTTGTGAATCTATGTCAGCAAACAATTTATCGATTCCGAACCGCGTAATATCCAAATGAGAAGTCTATTCAGATGATGTTATTGTGCAAAGAATAATGTAGCTTTTACAAAACACACACACACACACTCTCACACACATACGCACACACGCACACTGGTATGTATCAAATGAAGGACAGACTGTGTCGAATATTGCGCATTAATGTTCCTTCTCTAACACAAATACATGCTGAATATTGGGCACGACAGAAAAAAAGCAGCCCTTTGTCAATCCATAACACAGCACGTCACAATAAAGTACAGATACAGGCACAAATCTACGACTACCATCACGCAAAATTATTTAAGATAGATCAGTTCTACTTTGACTATTGCTCCACTTAGACTTCGAAAACACTTAACCAGAATTTGCAAAAAAAAAGAAAACTCAAAACGTTTTATTTTTTTAAATATTTTTTACACCAAATTTATTGTAACCGCAAGAGCGAAATCAAGTGAAACGCAAAGAAAAGAAATTGTCACAAAAAGTAATACAAAACAGGATCAACCAATAAGGCAGATTAGATAACTTACAACGGAGACACAAATACATAGATACTGAAGCAAAACGCAAAAAGATTTTTTTTTCACGAATTTCATAAAAGGCGTAAAAAAGTGTACCGTTCAAATTGAATTTAAATAAAATTGATTATCTATTTTATTTGGAAAACAGAAATCAACGTATTTATTTCATTCTAACAATTCCATCAGCTCCAATTAAAAAATTCCATCAATTATTTATAACAAATCTGAAATTTGTCGCTACCTGAAAACTGAAACTGAAAGAAAAAAAAAGAAGAGGAAACAAGTACGTTTTATCTTTCAACAAGGAGATGTTGCATATCGATTTTATGGAAACAAAAATCATTTTTTCCTCGTCTATACTTTGTTTTGCCGAATGTGTTAAAGCCTGTTACGAAAATTGAATTTGCTTCCATGGGCATTTGAAAGGAGTTCTCATAGCGAAAGGTTTTATATAAAATTGTATAAATTGTCCTAGGTAATTGATTCATGTGCAAAGCTCCAAGGCTAAACAAAGTTAGTGGAGTGAGCGTTTCTATTCTATCGTTGAGACGTTATTTCCCAAAGCATCGCATTTGCATTTTCCGAATTCAATTTGATTAATTTGTCTACATAATTCCATTGCCAGCTCAGAATTTTTGCGCTACTTTTCTAGTCAGCTGTTTATAAATAATGTGTGTGGGTTAAATTCATCACGCGTATCAATTTATACCATACAATATTCGAGAAGTAATTAGAGAGCGAAGGAAAGTGAAAAATCAATTACAATTTATATTTGTGTGTTGACTTAAGCCTGATTTATCATCTATTTCCGATGAATGATTAAAAATTCAACCCTAAAAAATAGAAATATTTCTAGAAAGATCCAAAAATCCCTAAAAAAAATAGAATTCACTCTAAATCATCTCGAGAATCGTCAATTTTTTGACATTACAAACTCACAAACCGTAAATCTAACGAACGCCTATCGAAAATAACGAAAATACCCAAAGTTAATCCAATGCATTTACGTTTTAAACGTGAAAAACAAAGAAAACAACACCTTTTACATAAACAATGTCTTTACCCCGTGAATGGAGTCTCCAGGTGAGTTTGCGAATTTTATATAAACTGTTTATCTTTCTCTTTGTATTTTATCGACATTCTCATTGAATGTCATTTCCATTTGCATATCATCTGCATGAATTCATGGAATAGAAAATTCCTAGCATTGATACGAATGAAGACCAAAAAATAAACATTGTTTTCGTCTTATCAAAACAGCCAATGTCGTTGTGTAAATGCTTGTGTTGACGACTGCGCATTGCTTTTTTACATGACACTTCCTAATGTCTGCGACGCAAATACATTCCGTTGCATCATTTAATACCACACCATATTATCATAATGACATGCTCTTTTGTTTGTTCATCTGTTTTCGCGTTTTCAACAGGAAACACGGGAGACATTTGATGAAAAGTTCCAGTCATCCGGATTCAGCATACACGATTCGAGTACATCATCGATCAAGCAATGCGAACACCCAATTATTCATCCCGATGTGGCATTGTTCAATGAATTCAATACAACCGGTTCGTTGTGCTCCATACATTCAGCGCCACAGGTGCAGCTTGCCGATTCGATCAACGTTATGAGTGAAATTATCACCGTGCCGAACGACACCGGAAATGGACTGTTGCAGCCAAACCTGTCGACAAAATCCGTTTTTCTCGAGCTAATTGGCAATAAGCGCACCAGCGAAATTGACGAAGACGATAATGATAATCTGTTGACAGTATCGAGTGTTACTGCGCGGCCATTAATAGCAAAGTCACGGGAATTGAGGAGTAGCAAGTGAGCAATGTTTGCATTCGTTTGAAATTCGATGCGAGAACAACTAATGTAAAAAAAAATTGTGTTTCTTTTTCGAAGACTTTCAAATCGTTTGGGTCGACGGAAAGAAGTGAGCAGCGATAATAATACAACACTCCCACCAATGGATGGTGGTTATGGCTGGTATGACCCAATACTGACAATACTAAGACTTATATTTAGAAGAAAATCCAAAACTAAAATAATAAAATTCTTCGTATGAAAAAAATAGGTTGGTCGTATTTGGTGCATTCTCCGTACAGTTTTGGGTTGCTGGTCTTGTGAAATCGTACGGGGTACTGTTTGTCGAGATTTTGGAAATATTCCCCACAAACACAACAGCTGTCGCATCCTGGATACCCGCCATTCTATCAGCACTATGTTTGGCTCTTGCACCGTTGTCCAGCGCACTGTGCCAGCGTTTTTCCTGTCGTACCGTAGTATTTATAGGGGGATTATTCTGCGCCTGTGGCCTCATGTTGAGTTACTTTGCTACAAGCCTATACCATCTGCTCATTACATTTGGAATTTTAACTGGTTAGCATCATCTGATTTGATAGTACTTTTTATGGCTGAGCTCAAGACTGAGTCATTCGGATTTTGTAACTATTTCAGGAATCGGAGGTGGATTATCAACAACGCCTGGAATCATCATAGTTTCGATGTATTTCAATAAACGACGAGCCCTCGCGAACGGTATTTGTGTGTCGGGAACAGCAGCGGGCAGTTTCATTTTTCCCATTCTCATCGAGTATTTAATCCATAAATTCGGATTCCATGGAACATTGCTGCTTCTTGGCGCTGGTATGTTGCATGTTTGTGTCTCAGCCACGTTGTATCGACCATATGACGAAAACTGGGCATCGGAAACAGCAAAATCGACCAAATGCGAAAACAGCAATTCAACTGCTACCAATCTGACACTTCTTACGGCATGCAATGGCGATGAAAAACGATACATTGAGCATTTATTTATGGAAGAGTCAAAGAATCGTTTAAACGATCTCTACAATACTAACAAACTTGGTAAGTTTTCGATTTCAATGCTGTTCGCTGTTTGTTTGAATTCAAATTCGAACACACTGAAATTCGAGGTCACTTAAATGTTCGAATTAATGTAAAACTTTGCAATTTTCTTCTGCACAGGAGCCCTCAATGACAATAGCGGAAATGGCAATGAAGGTGGTGATGATGAGTATGCGGATACAATGGGCGAAAGCAGGTTCACAAAACCTATTTCGGCCATTCGACCTACACGAAGCTCTTCAATTTTACACTCAGTTGAAGATTTGAGCACCGATTCGACATGCGTATATAAATCAAGAAATGGCTACGATTCGAATCGGGGAAGCCGACGACGAATTATAACGCAAAAGTTTGGCAATCGTTCGAGTAATGATGAAATTCCCGACAAACAAACACTCAATCATTTATTCGATTACAATAACGCATCAACAATTCAGTCATCGAACAATCGTGGTCTCAGCAAAAGTATGATTCTTCCAACACCCGTCAGCGATTTGTCCGAATTTGATGATGATATCGAACTGAAACAGCCAAAAACTTTATGCGAAAAAATTCAAAGGTAAACTCTTTAATTTTTTTTTTTTTTTACAGAAAAAATCTGAAGCAATTTTTTTTTCTCCAGATACATTGACGTGAGTTTACTCAAAGATCCAATGTTCATTGGGATGTGTTTGTCTGTCACACTTATGTCGGTGGGATGTCCTTATTTTTTGTATTTTCTACCAGCCTACGCAATTTCTCAAGGTATTACTGAATACAAATGAAAAACGAAATATCTGCCCGAATAAAATATTTCTTCCGATTTTCTAAATTAGGTTTTACAAAGAAGGAAGCAGGACTGTTGGTAGCTGTTAGTGCAGCATTAGATTTAGTAGGACGATTAGGTAGAAAAATTTAACCTTTTATTTAAATCTCCCCATATATGTACTTCTTTTCATTATTGTGATGAGATGAGACCAGTGTCAAACTGTTGTATGATTTGGAGAATGGATTCGATTTTCGATAGAAAATTTCATCCAGGTTTTATCATAGGGAAATTTTAATTTTATCATGAAATTGAAATAACAATATTACACTGATTTTCTCATCAACTTGGTATCAAATCGTCACTAGTTTTCGATGAAATTTCTGCGAATTGTCATTTTGAAACATTGCTAATGGTTAATTGCTATTCTTCAGATGACAAATTATTATTGCCAATAATATGAAAATTCTATTTCGGGGCATTAGAACAAATAATATGTAACACTATTTCCGACGCGCACGAGCGCAAACATTCTTCCCTATACTTATTATATTGACAAATCAATGAGCAAGCATCGGTTCGGATATAGAAATATGCAAGATAAATATGCAAAGCATGGACGCGTACGGACGACCGTGTGAAGAACGTATCAACGGGCGATCGTGAATTGCGAGACGCATGCGTTCGTGTGTATATGAATACAGTACACAGCAAACAATGATGGCTCTGGTGATACGTCCGTCGCACGGTCGTCCGTATGCGTCTATGCTTTGCATATTTATACAGTATAGAACATCTAGGTAAACATATTTCTACGTCCGAACCGGTGCTTGTCAATGAGTTTTTTCAACCATCATAATTTACTGCTTCCTAATTCCTGGTAGTTATAATTCAAATTAATTTTATTTTAAAAAAAAGAAGAAGAAGAAGGAATTTTCGGAATATTGTATTAGTATTTATATAAATTAGAATATAAATGATTCGTCGCTTCATCATTTTAATACAATAAGGAGTGACAATACCTTCAGTTTACAATCTATATACATATCAATCGTAAAAGTAGATTTCGGCAAAAGAAGAACATCGATTTAGACATTTAATATTTATTCAACCATTTGTAGGTTTCGGTTATTTATCAGACCTACAAATTTTCGACAGGAAAAAAGCGTTTATTTTATGGTATGTAGTGGCAGTTTTTCAAACAAAACCGATTCAAATTGTTTTTTTTTTGGATTTTCTCTTGGATTTTGGTTTTCTGAAGAAAACCCCCTGAAAAACCTTGAAAAAATCCGAAGACCTAAAAAGCTAACAAATGTTAATAATACTCTCTCTATATCGGCAGTATTTTGGGGGCTGGCCTCGCAGTACTATCAATACCCATGGAAAATCATTCATATCTAGTTGGATTTTCATCGGCAATGTATGGTTTATGTCTCGGAGCATGGTATCTTTTGGTACCAGTACTTTTGGCAGATTTTTTTGGAACAGAGCGCATCAGTTCGAGCTACGGGCTCATTCGGATGTTTCAAAGTCTCGGTGCGATTTCGGTGCCACCACTAGCCGGATTTCTACGGGATTTAACTGGTGGCTATCAAATATGCTTCTATTGCATGGGAGCTTGTATGGTTGGTATCATTTTCTATGTTTTTATTCCATTTTGAACATGGGTCTAGACAATGGGAATTTCGTTATTATTTCAGGTGCTCGGAAGTATTCCATTGATTGTGCTGACAATTCTTGAGCCAACTGGAGATGCAACACCAAATTCTGATGACAGTGACGTATCGACCGTGTCCAATTAGCATATAGAAATATCACAATAAAATGTAATTGTTAGTATTTTGAGTGTAACCCTAAAAACCACACATACACACATCAACATATTTTTCCATGAAAAACCAAAAAACCAAACAAACAAATTGTTTCCAACTGAAATTTTAGCGAATTACATACTAAATCATATTTCGACTGTACCATTTATTAAGAATGAAGCACGGTCACAATTGAAGAGCGCGATAATGGAGCGAACATAGTCGTAGGATCACCTATAATTTTGTTGTCCATCTTAATAATATTGGAATAATTTTGTGATTTCACTGTGTGTTCAATTTTATCGAACAAAAACAAATTATAAAACTTAAACTTAAAACTAAATAAAACAGTAACAAAAGATCCTAACACACCTACTCTTATTGAAGTCAAGAAACTTATCTTTCTTGGATCTTTGGTTCCACAGTCCCAGAACAATACTGTCTGTTTTAATTGTACCATCAAATACAAGGTAAAATATATTCGGTAGCCGGAATTATTGTTGACAAAGGAGAAAAATACTAATGTGTGTGTAATAATGTAAACGTCTGCTCTGTTATGCTGCTCAATATAAACTATCTCTTTTATTCAGTGACAATGACATTTGTACCGGCAACCAGTGTTGCCAACACTACATTACTCTCTTCTTTTTTTCAAATTGTCTTTATTTAATTTAATTTAATAACAATGAATGCAAATGAATTAATTGACAAAGTTTAAATGCAATGTTATACTGTTCCGCTGTCACATCTTCTTGGATCGCTTCGGTTGTACGAAATCTTGGTAGTAGCTAGGCGTAGAACGTTTCCGTGTCGATGCCCTGGTCAAAACTTAATGTGGCTGTTGCGTGTGCTGTGATGTTGTCTCGCCCGATGGTGGTGAATGCTGTAAAGGGACTGTGGCACGCTCGGAAATCTTTCTTCCCGTACCCGAATGTACTACAATCACTTCTGAACCTGTCCGCTTGGTCACTGTATGTATTGTTGGTTCGAAAGCAGTGTCAAGTTTATTTGTCACAATTTGTCTCTTGACTACCTCATCTCCTTCTGACATTGACATTTGTTTTGGCATTTCGTTTGCGATCGGCATACTCTTTCTCCTTTCGTTTCATGTCCGCATCACGATCTCTGACTTCACTGTCTTCTCTTTCGATATGCTGATCAATTGATGGCAATTTATCACGAATATTCCGATTGAACATCAACTCTGCCGGTGTTTTCAACGTTGTTGAGTGCGGAGTTGAACGATACATGAGTAAGTACTTCTGCAAGTCTTCTTGCCAATTTCCTTTTTCGCTCTGACAAATGGATATTCGCTTCAATAACGACCGATTTTGACGCTCAACCTCTCCGTTTTGTTGCGGCCAATAAGGTGTGGTGCTAATCAACGTAATATTATTCACTCGGCAATACTGTTTGAATTCCACGCTCATGAGCTGACGTCCATTATCCGCATGCATGGAGAGGGGCAATCCAAAGCGAGCGAAAATGCGTTCCAAACGTTTAATAGTTTCGCTTGAATCAATTTTCGCCATTATTTCCACTACCTTGAATCGGCTTTAATAATCAATCACCACGAATATGTAATGACCTGATGGCAATGGGCCAAGAAAATCAATTGCAAGGTGTTGCCAAGGTGCCGAAGGCGATTCCGTTCTTCTGAATGGTTCGGGTGCTGATGGTGTACTCACTAACAAGCAGCCACGGCATTTCTTCACAAATTCCTCTATCTGAACTTTCGTTCTTAACCGACATTTCATCACAGTCATGCCGGGGTGACCTTCGTGGGCCAATTCCAATGTTTTCTCACGCAAAATGTGTGGTATCACAATATCCGTGTTCTCCGCAATAAAATGTTACCAGCGAAACATAGCTCCAGCCCGAATGGCTTGAATGCCGATGCCGAATCTGGCCATTCTCCTTCGTACTGCGCATGTTTGACTGCTTGAATTTCGCTGTCTTTCGTTGAAGCCTCCAAAATTTCATCCAACTTAATTGCCTTTGGCTCTGCCAATGGTATGTTCATTTGTTTAAATAGTCGTGACAACGGATCGGCAATGTTCGTTTTTCCGGGCTTGTAAATTACTTTAAACTTGTATGACATCAAACGCATGACCCATCTTTCAATTCGTGCGCATGGCTTTGACTTTGGTGCAAACAGCGTTTCGAGAGCCTTATGATCGGTCACCAATTCGAACTCACGTCCGTATAAATAATACGTAAATCGTTCGACTGCCCATACCAAGGCGAGTGCTTCTTTTTCCGTTTGTGCATAATTGAGTTCTGGTGCAGTTAAACTACGGCTAGCGTACGCAATGACTCGGTTTTCTCCTTTTTGAAATTGTGTCAGTACCGCACCCAACCCAATCCGACTGGGCTTGCATCAGCGATGAGTTGTGTTCGGCATTTCACATTGTAATATCCAAGTGGCAAGTTATCTGTCAATCTGTCTTTGAATGTGTCAAATGCCAATTGTTGTTCACGGCCCCAATCAAATCTGACACCTCTCTTTGTAAGTTGACGAAGCGGCTCGCTAATAGTCGCCAGATTCGGAATAAATTTACCCACATAGTTCACCAGTCCGATGAAACTACGAACCTCTTCGGCGTTTTTGGGTGCGCGAAATTCCTGCACAGCCTTGACTTTATCGTGTTTCGGTTTTATTCCAGCGTCTGACAGAATATGGCCATAGAAATCAATTGCCGTGCGCCCGAATTTACACTTAATCTTGTTCAGTGTAATGTTGAATTCACGAATTCGATCAAGCACTTTTCGAAGCCGTAAATCATGGAGCTCTCTCGTCGGTGCATAAATGACGATATCATCAATGTAAACGGGTACACCTTCACATCCACTTAGTATTTGTTCCATTAGTTTCTGACGAACCATTTGTTCGATTCGATCGTCCACCAATTTCTCAAGTGCAACTGGTACACGACGGTATGGTTGGGCTACAGGCTTCACGTCGGATATGATTGGAATGTCAATTGTTACACCTTTGATTTTTCCCAGTGGTCTACAGTCGATTTCGTTTTCATCAATCACATTGACATTGATGGCATTCTTCGGCTCAACATCGTCTCCGATTTTCAGTATTCCAAGTACTTCGGCAGTTTCATATCCCAGCAATACCTGTCCTGGTTCATTAGCTACGTAAAACTTGGCCAACTTTCCATTCGTTGCCGTTTTGACCACCGTTTCAATCATTCCTATGAACTTCAGTGGATGCGCGCCGTAACTTTTAAAATAGATATCAACTTCATTTTGTCGGTGTGTGGTCACAATATTTTTGGTTTTCCATTCTAACCAAGACGCTTTGTCAACGACATTTCGCTTTGTGCCTGAGTCAACGATCACTTCAACATCGATACCACCGATTGTTACCCACATTTTGTTGTAATCGCCACAATGTTAGAAATAGCAATCGAACTGTAAATGTGAACCCATCTTAAGATGTAACATGAAGTTTGATATTTGACGGATGACTTGATTTTGACGTTTGATTTTTCAATAAACGTTCTACTTGTTATTGCACTCAAACCGACTGAACGTGTTTCAATATATATTCAAAGCCATAATTTTTGTCAGGTTATGGGCCCAGCAACGACGAAAAAACAAAAATATTAGGAGAATTGTCAAGAAATATCATCAGTGAGTATTTTTGTCGACCGAATTTCCGTGAAGATTTTGTGATCGCTGCGATTTGAATCGATTGAAAATTGTCGCGTGTTGAGGTGTATTGTGAAGCAAACGAACGAACGAACGAACGAAAATGAGTACCGCCGACGAGAAATGTTCCGTAACGCAATTGAGAGAGCAAAAGCAATGGTTACCTTGGAAATTTCAAGTGAGAATTTTGCTTCGTGCGGCTGAAATTTACGATGTTGTGACAGGCACAGACAAAGAGCCGAAATCGACCGATGCGGGTTATGATGCCACGAAACACACGGCATGGACGAAACGTGATGTGAGAGCGCAGAAAATCATTGCAACGAGTATGATTGACGAAGCATTGCTGCATATCATGAGTTGTGAGACATCGAAGCAGATGTGGGACAAATTGCACAGTGTCTATGAGCAAAAGTCAGAATCATGTGTTCATGTATTGCTTGAGCGATACTACGCGTTTACGAAAGATCCGAACGACGATATGGCCGTGTTTTTTTCAAAATTGGATGAAATTGTGCAACAGCTCCGTGATTTGGGTGAGACATTTTCCGAACGCCAATTGATATCGAAAGTGTTGAGAATTTTGCCTGCGGAAATGAGTCATTTCAGTTCAGCCTGGGATTCGACAGCCGAAGGAGAGCGTACATTTTTGAAATTGCGCGAACGGCTCATGGTCGAAGAAATACGTATTTCGAATGCTAGTGAAGGAAATGAAATGCAACAGTCAGCGATGTCGGCACGAATGACGAATCGATCGATGAAACCGAGAGAAAAAAGGGGTTTGAAGTGCTTTGAGTGTGGTACTGAGGGACATTTTCGAAGAGATTGCCCGAATTTGAAAAAGAAAACTGGAAATCATGAAGCGATGATGGTCCTGAGTATGATTGCCAATGGAAGAAATGATTGGTATCTGGATTCGTGTGCCACGTATCACATGTGTAGCAACAAAAGCTGGTTCATGAGCTATCGCCTGCTTGAAGTGAAACAGGAGGTGACGGCTGGCAACGGCGAACCAATGAACGCCGGTCAATTGAGTGAAAACGGATTCGAATTGTCGTTGAATCGAAATGGTTGCGCGATACGCAAGAATGGATTGACGGCCACAGTGGCAACTCGACACAAGAATTTGTTCAAATTGACGATGAAAGTGAAGTCACAAGTAACAAATGTTCGACCGATTGAGCTCGAGAGAGAGAAAAGTATCACGAGCAGCCGATGTGTTTTGCCGAGAGTGACAGTGCGTCTCAATGTCGATGAGAATGAAAGTGACGTAAACGAAAGCGAAGAAGAAGATGTGATTGGCAGTAGCGATGAGCGTGGCGAAGGCAAGAGCGCACTTGAAGAGGCCAGCGGAACGAATGAAACGGACGATTCGATCATCGATGGAAAGCCAACACGTTTTTTGCTTGACTCAGATGAGGAAGAAGCCGAGAAAGCGGACAGAAACGATCAGCGGATGGATTTTTCTGGAATGTGGAAGAAAGTCTCCGAGCTGATGTGATGGTATGAAAATTTAAAGAAGTTAAATTTTATTTTGTATTTTTCAGTAGAGCCAATATTGAATGAAGAGACGAAAAGAAAAGACGTTTCGAGTGGCTCGGTACTGAAAACGAAAACAAAATGTGAACTGAACTTGGAAATGGATACGAGAAATAGAGAGAGAATCGCATGGCGACGAATTGAATCAACATTTGGATTTCTTTGTTTCAATTAGTTAAACTGTTTTTCGAGTAATTCATTTAAAGTTAGATTTTTGATTCATTTATAGTTTGAATTTAGAGAGAGTTGAATTTTCATTGTTATTTTGAATTTTGTTTTGGAAATTAACTGATTTGAACATGAAAATGAATTGTTAGTTTGTAAGATTTACATTAGATTGAGAGAGAGAGTGTTAGAAATAGCAATCGAAATGTAAATGTGAACCCATCTTAAGATGTAACATGAAGTTTGACATTTGACGGATGACTTGACTTTGACGTTTGATTTTTCAATAAACGTTCTTCTTGTTATTACATTTAAACCGACTGGACGTAATTCAATATTCAAAGCCATAATTTTTGTCAGTATCGTCATGTGAATCGACCATGAAAATGTCCCCATACTCATCTTCAATGCTTTTGTATTCGGGAGAAATGCTCCTTGCGACCACAACGATGGCATGTCTTGCCTTTTTCCGGGCAACAATCGTCTGATGCCTTGTGACCTTTCGAACCGCATCGGCCACACACAATACCAAAATCCATATTTTTCTTCGGCGGCATATTTCGACGACTTGCAAATTTACGTTTCGCATTAATATTGCAAACACTTTCATCTTTCTGTTCATCAACTGTCACCGGACTTGTGTGTATGAGTGTTGCTTCCTTTTCGAAAGTTTTCTGTTGCTTCGAAACAGCTTCAAAGATTCGTGCCATTTTGACGATTTGTTCCAACTTTTCATCACCTCGTTCCAATATTTTGCGTCGCAACACATCCGAATGACAGCCGCTCGTGATTTGGTCACGAATGTTTTCATCGAGCTGCTCGTCAAAATCGCATCATGAACATGTCGATTCGTTCACCTTTGTTTTGTTTCAGCATTCTGAGAACTGTTTCGGTTCGAAAAATTCACACAGTTTCGCAACCGCTTGTTCATATTCGTCTTCTGGTTGAAAATTCACATAACCCGTTGCCAATGGGCCTTTTCGTATATTCTCCACGACTTCTTTTCCGGCAGTGAATAATAAACCGGTTGAACTTTTGCACCGGCGTAATGCAGCATCCAGTTCAATTTCTCTTCGGCGTCCACCATCGAATTTGCTTGGGCGAGGATTTCAAACCTTCGCAGCCATATTTTCCATTCGCCACCGCAATTTCCATCTGCTTT